TCTTTTTTTTTTTTTTTTTTGAGACAAAGTCTTGTTCTGTTGCCCAGACTGGAATGCAGTGGTGCAGTGGCGAAATCTTGGCTCACTGCAACCTTCACTGCCTCCCGCATTTAAGTGATTCGAATTCCTCAGCGTCCTGAGTAGCTGGGACTACAGCATGCACCCACTGTGCCCCGCTAATGTTTTGTATTTTTAGTAGAGATGAGGTTTTGCCATGTTACCTGGGCTGGTCTCACACTCCTGAGTTCAGGCAATCCGCCCACCTTGGCCTCCCAAAGTGCTAGGATTATAGGCATGATCTATCACACCTGGCCCAGATTTTCTGTGTGTGGTGTTTGTTTTTGTTTTACATTCTCTCTCTTCTAGTCCCTTTCCTTTGTCTATCTTATTGAGTCATTTGTTTCTGCTTTTCTTATTGCTGTGGTCTCAGTCTTTTTGTTGTTGTTAGTAGAGACGGGGTTTCACCCTGTTAGCCAGGATGGTCTCAATCTCCTGATCTCATGATCTTCCTGTCTTGGCCTCCCAAAGTGCTGGGATTACAGGCTTGAGGCACCGTGCCCAGTCAGTCTTGTGATTTACTCCTAGAGGTGCTGGCAAACCTGAGCTCAGATTTAGGAATAATGGGGTTGGGACAGGAGAAGGATGAGATAGGGACCAGCAGGTGATGAAAAGATAAGGGTGGGTATATTCATCATAGGGGTTTCAGGAACTGTTATCTCACACTCAGCCCCTTTGTCATCTATGGGATCAACACAGTGTTGTTACTGATCATCCCCCAAACTCACTTCCATGAATCTGTAAAGAATGTCCTTCTCATCCCACGAATTCTGCTGCTTAGAAAGCAACCTGAAAATGATGCTCTTAAAGTCCTCAGTCTGTCCCTTTAGAGTACCGCAGAAAGATCCCTGAATGGAGATCCTGACCCTTAAGATATGGAACTACTAGGAAGAGATATTTGGAGATTATCATTACGTGGAGGGATAGGAATACCACTTTCTTTCTCCTTTATTCTCATTTTTTTCCCTTTAAAAAGAAACCTACAATTTCTTTGCTATTTGCTGTTGGTATCCAGTACATGACTGCTTTCTTTATTAAGAAGATATGCTTTCCCTTCCTGTATGCTTCCTGTTTTAATTGTCAATTTATGATAGCTCTAAACATGTCTTTGTTGCCCCTCTCTCCATTTCCACTTCCACTGTCCTATTTCAGTTCTGGACTATTTGGTCTCACTCCCTTGCCACACTCCCAGTCTTTCCCCTGTATGGCATCCTCAGTGATATTTCTAACAAAAAACTCTGACAATGGTGTTCCTACTCAGTCATATTTAATGATTCCCCATCACCTCTTGAGTACAATCTGAATCTCTTTGGAAGGGCATTTGAGGTTCCTCATGGTCTCGTCCATTGGGCTGGACTACATTTATGGATGAGACACTTGTGAGGAAGAAAACCCAGTTCTAGAGAAATAAAGGCGTGGCATCTTTGCACACTTAGAAATGCAGGAAGATAAGGTTTAAAACCATCTTTCTTGGGAGGCTGAGGCAGGTGGGTCACAAGGTCAAGAGATTGAGACCATTCTGGTCAATAAGATGAAACCCCATCTCTACTAAAAATACAAAAATTAGCTGGGCATGGTGGTGCGCGCCTGTAGTCCCAGCCACTCGGGAGGCTGAGGCAGGAGAATTGCTTGAAGCCAGAAGGTGGAGGTTGCGGTGAGCTGAGATCGTGCCATTGCACTCCAGTCTGGGTAACAGCAGCAAAACTCCGTCTCAAAAAAAGAAAAAAGAAAAAAAAAAACATCTTTCAGAATCTGCCCTTTGGCTGGTGTAAAAAGCAAAGTTGATTCTTCTGTTTTGTTTACCTGAGATAGCACCTTCTTCAGAAACTCAGATTTTTACAAACTGCTCATGAAAATTAATCTATCTCTGCAATAAGAGATGGGCCTGGAGCATTGAAGATACTCATTGAGCGCTCACTTCCCAAATCTTGAAAGAGTCAATAAGAAATAAGTTTTATTAAGGTTCAGTGTTAGGCACTGTGCTAGTTCACATGGATATAGGGTGATCAAGGCTAACATGGTCTCTTATTACAGGAAGCTGAGCCCATATCTGGGAAGACAAACAAATAATTCCAAAATATTTCTCTAGAAAAATAGCCTATTCCACACCAACTGTAGTTTTATCATATCTCTTCTTTTAAAGCTGGATATTTTTACATTCCCCTCTTTTCTTAAAATCACAAATCTCTCCTCTACTTCCTTCTCTTTTACTTTCAAATCAGCATTTTTAAAAGGCATTTCTTGGCCAGGCGCAATGGCTCATGTCTGTAATCCCAGCATTTTGGGAGGCCAAGGCAGGTGAATCACTTGAGGTCAGAGGTTGGAGACCAGCCTGGCCAACATGCAAAGCCCCATCTCTACTAAAAATAGAAAAATTAGCTAGGTGTGGTGATTCATGTCTGTAGTCCTAGTTACTTGGGAGGCTGAGGCAGGAGAATCTCTTGAACCTGAGAGGCAGAGATTGCAGTGAGCCAAGATCACACCACTGCACTCCAGCCTGGGCAATAGAGCTAGACTCCATAAAAAAACAAACAAAACCGTTTCTTGATCCTGCTTACCTTAACACCATCTTCTTCTCTTTGTTTCAGTGAAAGAAGTTGTCTGTGTTTATCTTTGTTTCCTCAATTCTCATCATTCTCGAACCTCTGCAGTCTTACTTCTCTTGCTACTCAATTTACCCTATCCCTGTGGTCATCAGAGATTTATCCTTGGTTGTCTTTGTGGCACCTGGCACCACTCAAGCTATTACTTCCCCATGTCTATACTTGCTCTCTTTTGGCCCAGAAAATTATTGGATACAGTCCAATAATTTTACAGTCCAATACAGTTGCTCCCCTTCTCCCAAAACATACCTTGTCTCTCCCACAAATCTATCCAGAGTCTTCTTAATTCCCCTCACACTCCCAAAGTGAGCTGAGCAGTCTTTGAAGTAAAAATTAAGTTATAGTTAAGTTTCACTTGCATTTCACTTGTGCAGTTTTTTAAAAAAATAAAAAAACCTCTTCTGGCCAGGTACAGTGGCTCATGCCTGTAATTCCAGCACTTTGGGAGGCCGAGGTGGGTGGATCACCAGGTTAGGAGTTCAAGACCAGCCTGGCCAACATGGTGAAACCCAGTCTCTACTAAAAATGCAAAAATTGGCTGGTCGTGGTGGCACTTGTAGTGAGCCGAGATTGTGCCACTATATCCCAGCATGGGCTACAGAGTGAGACTCTTCTCAAAACAAAACAAAAAAAAAACCAAATCTCTTTCAAATGATTCTTGGGCTTTGAGTACCACGATCTACCCAGACTTGCATTCCCTGAGCTGTGTTCTAGTTCTCGTCATTTTGGCTTTTCCCCTCTCTGATAAATCCTTGTAATTACTTGAGTGTCATTCTGTCTGGCAATATTCACAGTGAAGAAGCCAGTGTGCATGGTGGCAAAGCCCAGGGAGACCTAGGTGTGAATTTTTGCTCTACCATTTCCTGCCTGTGTGAATTATGCCATGGGGCTTCACTGGTCTGGACCCCAGTTTCTCATCTTTTATATGACATCATTTTCTTGGGAGGGTTACATGAATAATATGTATGTGATAATTAAGAGGTTTATATGTATGAGCAATATATGTGATAAATAAGAGGTTTCAGTTAGTGGTAGTTATTTTCATTTGACATATTCTTGCTAAATTATTAATTTCTTCTGAAGCCCAGAGTATTTGTATTTTAACAACAAATAAGTTTTAAAGAAATCAATCTATAGATATTAGGGAAATTTGGACCCCTATACCCTGGTTAAGGAAACGTATCTGGAACCCATTGCCATACAGGAGACCCTGGGCACCAGGACACCGGGGAAAAGAGGTTAAGTGGGTCCCACTTCTGACATGATACCCAGTGATTCAGTCAGGGTACAGTTGGGAAAACAGAACCCATACCACAGGGACTGGTTACAAAAGTCTTGAATAGCTAAAAGCAAAACAGGATGGTTTAGGCTGTATTATGTAGACAACAGTCACTCAGGTGAGCAGGCCCAACCTCCTTGAGGTATTATCTGTGGACAGATCTTTGCGATTGTGGCTCAACCCTGGGTTCTTCATGTGTCTTTTCTTAATGGGCCCAGGAGAGGTAATTTCAGGGAGCAGGGGACCTGCAGAATGACCATGTCCTCTTTTGACATCTCACTTCTAGCCATAAGGTTATGAATCATATATCTCAGGAGTCTGATTCTAAAGGAAAGAAATGTCTGCCATAGCAGGAGAATGGAACGCAGACAGCTGTTCCTATTACTAGAGTTTTAGCAGTCCCTATAATTCAGCTAGCCCAGATGAGGATCTCAGTTGGGGGTAAGACATATTTTCCAATATTGAATAGCAAATGATGTGACTTTTTCATGCTGATCTTAAACATTTCTCTGATGAACAGCATAAGAAAACAAATGATCACTTAGAGGATTCTGTTTGGTAGTTAAAACCATATTAAAATAGAGAGGGAAGAAATTATCTAAGCCTCCTTGATGGTAAAGAGATTGGGAACCACTACTCCGTTGTTAGAAAATATAAAATGACAGAAGGGGTCATTTGATGACCCACTATATTAAGTGGGAATTTCCAGACCCCATCTTCTGGAGGGAATGCTTGCTGACAAGCCTTAGGGAGAGAGATGCTTGTCTAGCCCATTGCCTGTGTGTCCAGGAAGAGATGTGCACACCTTGAGACACTGAGAGAAGACCTTAGCAAGGAGAAGTTTCAGATCAGCTCGTAAGCACAGGGCATTGGAGGCAACCAACTAGCTCTAACAAATTCTGAACAGAGCACAGCCTTCAAAGGCTTGTACTGCTGCTCATACGCAGCAGAGGCCTTGCACCAGGCCTCCCCATGCAAATCAGTGTCCCTGAAGGGTAGGTAAAGGACCTCTAGCTGTGCTCTCTATGGGGGAACAAATATCCAGTGGGACACTGAGAGACTGGAAGATTGCCCAACATTTATTTACTGATCTGTGTTCACCACAGAGCCTAAGGTGTTTATTGGTATTGTTTCAACCAGTACAAGTGATTCTTTCATTTAGTGGTCATCTCTGCACTCCACCATAGACTCGTTGGGAATTCCAAGATGAAAAGGGTCAGATCCTCACCCTGGCATAGCTCAGAGAATTTGGTTGGGGAAGTAGGGACATAGACATGTGATCACTAGTCCATAATTTACTAAGCTGTGAGAACTGGAGGTGCATCAGTGACCAGAGTTCATTTGAGCAAGAGGCAGAAGGTACCATCGACTAAAGGAACAGCATGAGCTCTAGGCTGTATCATTAGGTACAATTTTCTGTCTTTAGGGGAGTCTTTTTAACCCTAAAACAAAAATTATGACTATCGAAAGAGGCCACGCTTCATCTTTGCAGTTATTTCAGGAGAAAACTTAACGACAACGCACTTTCTAAGTTAAAAAAAAAAAAGTAATATGAATATCACCTGAAAGAATTTGAGGTCTCAAATTTGGGAGGATCTTTAAATAACAGTCTACCTCCTGAGGAATGCCTAACAGTTCATACTCATTTCTTGATGTCTATAAATGGAAACTCTACAGCCTCAGATATGTTTCTCTTTTCTTTTAACAACTTTATACTCAAAAGAAAATCAGTGTTCAGCACTTCTAATAGCAGAGCTAGTGGAAGCTTGAGATCAGAACAGAGTTCAGTAGAGGGGAACTGAGGACACACAAGGCAGAACAGAACCCCCTTATCCATGGGGACCTGTCTGACTGGAGGTAGGAGGGAGATTCTACTCCACAGAGAATCAGGGAAGGTTGAAACTGTGTTTATCTGTGACAGTGTTGCTCTCTTAGGCCCAGATATAGGCCGGGAGTCCTTTGGGTGCTGGTGACTCAAAGTGTAGCCAAAAGGACTAGCAGCATCAGTTTCTGTGAGAACTTCTGAGTGCAGAATTTCAGGCCCGTACTAAATTTTTAAAGGTCTGCATTTTAACAAGCTGCTCTCAATTTGCTTACATATTAAAATTTCCAGAAGCACTGTTTTAGGATCATCTTTAAGTGTTATCCAGAAACATATAAGATCTTTTCTAAAAGCAAATTCTCAAGTCCTACCCTATAGGGATTGCTTCTGGTTCTCTGGGGTTGGTGCAGGAATCTACATTTTCAGCAAGTGCCTTAGAACCTTGTGCACACTAGCATTTGAGGATTGCTGCTTTAGATGGTGGGAAATCTGGGCAGGGGAGGGCTGTTGGTTGAAAGGAAATGATGACGTTTAGGAACTGGCACAGCATGCTTCTGCTCCTGCTGGGAAGCAGTGGGACAGATCCAGTTGATTGTGGAGAATGCACATCTCATGTCATGCTCAAGTGTCACCTTGGTGTGATGGCTGGAGACAGCCACATATGACCCCCTCATTGTCCAATTAGTAAGCTCAATCAATGATAGGAACCACTGACTCTGGTAATTAAAAACTTATTGCTGGGCAGGTTCTCATAAGAGGCCATGGGAAAGCCATGTCCATCTCAGGGACACGGGGTCATCTGGGCCCCTGGGTAATAGAGGCCAAAGAATGAGACTGTTTTCCCTGAGAAATCCTGAAAAAATTGTGGCCTCTTTATCTGCATTAGCAGAGGTCATTTGTTCCTTCTTGAAATCCAAGGTCATCATTTCTGTTATGGAAGTTTGATCCGGGGTCAGTGTGGTTTCTCCTTTACAGGAGAGCTGAGTCACAGAAAGGCAAGGTGGTTTGTGTCAGTCATTGGCCACCTCAGATTATAGAGCAGCTCTACCTTGATCGTGGAGTTGACCTTATTTTTTTCCTGTTTTCTTCCTTCTCCAGGTGAGAAAAGAGGACTTCCTATACATCTTTATCCTTTAATTTACATTACTCACTTTCTGTGGCTGCTGTTGCAGAAGCCACTGCTGACTGATGTGGATACCTCAACCTTTGGTAGAAGGTGTCTTTTGGCCTCTATCCATGTCGATGGCTTCTGAAAGAAATAAAAGATGATCATCTTTCTAAAAAGTCTTAAGTCTGAATTATTAGTTACTTAACTAGAGAATCTCACTTTTCATACTCTCCTATTTTAACCATAGTTGATTCAACACAGACCTTTGAGGATCTCTTCATGACTTCATCCACAAATACCTATTTAGGCTGTACAGATGCTACTAGTAAGGAAATAGGACTATCTGTATTGACTGTGGAACTTATTCTCTTAGCTTTATGCATGCAAATCTGTCCTTGGGATAGTTTTCTTGAGCATATCTACTTATGTTCAAGAGATAAATTGTCCTGAACCCCCCATTGTATTCATTTTATTTTATTACTCACAATACTTAATACCCCTACAAGTTGGGGTATTTTTTTTTTGATACCTAAACTTCATTGAGATAGTTTGAATTGTTCATGGAGAAAACAGAAACCTTCTGATACCTGGCTCCTATTTTTAAAAATGTTATGATCATACATGGCTTAGGGCTTTGTGGCCAAATAACTTCACTGAACCCAGGAAAAGGAATATATCCATCTGAAGCAGACCCATAGCTTCCAGTGGCCTAAATTTTTGGCTCCATTCGTATCTTACATTTTCTATGAGGAAAAGAAGTGAAAGGAGACAAGCCTCAGCCCTTCCCCTGGCACCTTTACTCTTTACCCTTCCTCGTGGCATGTTGGAAAGTACACTGGAGGAGGAGTGAAGGGCCCTAGGTTTGCATCCATGTTCTGCCACTTGCCAACCTTAATGGCCCTTACAATTGATTACCCTCGTTATGAAATTTTGGAATGATTTCTTAAGTCTTTCCTAGCTCTGAATCTTAACATTTTCTGACAGTCAGGACTTTCTGTAGCTTCACCTTTTTTATTTAGTATTATTTTTTTCTCAAGATTGAGCAGAGAAGGAAGCAATCAAGGTGTGCTGGGCACACACCCTGCAGTGGGGCAGTGGCCAATTCTAATCGCAAGTCATTAGGCTGCAGTAGCATGACCCCTGCCTCCCGCCTGCCCGCAGAGGGTAGAGACAGCTGAGCTACTATGGTTGGGGTCAGGCTCAGCCACTCTATGGGGAAAGTGATTAGAGTTGTGCCACTGATTTAGGGAAGGAGCCACCTTGTCTTATTTTCCCTCTTGAATTATCTTGATATGACTCCATTATCTTATAAATTTCCTTCCATTAACCTCTGTCTCCCAATTTCTCCTTTTAGCCTAGTTTTATTGAAGTAGAGGAACAGACAGTACTACTTCCATCCTCTTTCATCAGCCCTGAGAGCAGAACACAAGCCCCGTTACTGGGAACTATATCCTTGGCTCCCTGGGATGTGGATATTAACCTCTGGCCTGCTACTGTATCCCATACTCATGGAGATGTTCTCATCCATGTCCTTTACCCCCTATTTACAACTTATATCACCCAACAATGCCAATGGCCCTGATGGTCCCTCTGGGAGGGAGAGAAGAGTGGGCTGAACTAGAGACACTCCTTTCCTGTACATCCCACCTCAACAGTCCTGTTGGTGCTAGTGCCTATTCTGATCCTGGCCTGACCCCTGTCTCCTGGGCACAGGGCTGCAGGTTGGAAAGGCAGTATGATGGAATAGGGATAACACATACTCCAAAGCCAAACAGAAGCCCGACCTGGGTTGGGTGCTGGCTAAACATTCTAGAGCCTTTGTGACCTTTAACATCCTAATTAATTTTTCTAAGCATAAGTTTCCTTATCATAAATTATGTATGATAAAATTTTCCTTGGGTATGTTCATTTTAGCATGATTTGAAATTATATGTGAAGGAACCTGGCCCACAGAAGCTGCCCTGTAAATTTTAATTTACTTTCCCTTGTTCATATGTATGATATTAGCTGAATACAGTTATGAACCCCCCCATTAAAACTCCCAAATATTCTCCTTTAAGTTCTTATTTTCCTTTTAGTTTGTTTGTCATCATATTTCTTAGTTCTTCTATGAAGTGGGATCCCCACATCTTCTGGTTGAACAATATCAGAGAAGACACCACGTTTTGACTGAGTTCCAATGATACGGCAGCCTTTCCATTCTCTAATCTCACAGAAGTTAGGGGGAAAAAGTAGAAATTAAAATCCACAGACAATACAGACGATTCCATTAATTCTGAAAATGATTCTCAGGCATCCTTAGGACCTCAAGAAAGCTGTTCTTTCCTGGGCCTGTGGAGAATTCAAGTGCCAGGAAACTGCTACAAAGTAGTGGGAGGCAGGCGGTGAACTACTGAAGGGCTTCTCAGTCTTATTTAATTAGAGTGGGAATAAAAGAGTACATCCTTAGTTTAGAGACAAGACGCGAACTCAACTCTCAGCTGCCAAGCAAGCTTCACCTTGGGCTGTTCTGCATGCTTTCTCCTGGTGCTTAAACCACCCTGAGATGTACAGACCGATACTGGCCATCACAACAACACTCAAGTACATAGACCATTGACACTATAAAGCAAATACACAATGAAGTCTACATAACAGCCAACTAACAACATGATGACAGGATCAAATCCGCACATACCAATATTAACCTTGAATGTAAATGAGCTAAATGCCTCAATGAAAAGGCAGAGAGTGGCAAGTTGGACAAAGAAGCAAAACCCAACTGTAAGTCTTCAAGAAACCCATCTCACATGTGGGAACACCAATAGCCTTAAAGTAAGGGGATGGAGAAAGATCTATCAAGCAAACAAAAAAACAGCACTCTCTAATAAGAACAGAATATACATTCTTCTCAGCTGGTATATACTCTTAAAATTGACCATAACTGCTTTCTTGACCAGAAAGCAATTCTCAACAAATTTTTAAAAACCTGAAATACCTGCCAGATGTGGTGGCTCACACCTGTAATCCCAGCACTTTGGAAGGCCAAGGTAGGTGAATCACTTGAAGTCAAGAGTTCGAGATCAGCCTGGCCAACATGGCAAAACCTCTTCCCTACTAAAAAATACAAAAATTAGCCAGGCGTGATGGCGTGCACCTGTAATTCCAGCTACTCAGGAGCCTGAGTCACAAGAATTGCTTGAACTGGGAGAAGAGGTTGCAGTGAGCTGAGATCATCACACCACTGCACTCCAGCCTGGGCGGCAGAATAAGACAGACTCCATTTGTCTCACGAAAACAAAAACAGAAAAACCTGAAATACCAACCACGTTCTTGGACCATAGTGCAATAAAAATAAATAGCAAGAGGATCTCTTAAAACCATACAATTAAGTGGAAATTAATCCTGAATGGCTTTTGGGTAAACAAATGGAAATTAAGGCAGAAATAAAGAAATTGTTTACAACTAATAAAAACAAAGATAAAAACATACCAGAATCTTTGGGACACAGCTAAAGCAGTGTTAAGGGGAAATTATAGTGCTAAATGCCCACATCAAAAAGATAGATCTCAACCTAACACCACTCCTAGAGGAACTAAATAAGAGGAAACCAACCCCAAAGCTAGCAGAAGAGAAGAAATATCCCAAAATCAGAGATGAATTGAAATGGAGATGAGAAAAATCATGCAAAAGATCAAAGAAAACAAAATTATTTCTTTGAAAGAATAGGTATGGTTGATAGGACACTAGCCAGACTAATAAAAAGAGGGGGGAGAAAATCAAAATAAACACAATCAGAAATGAAAAGGGGGGCTCAGTACGGTGGCTCAGGCCTGTAATACCAGCACTTTGGGAGGCCAAGGCAGGCGGATCATAAGGTCAAGAGATCAAGACCATCCTGGCCAACATGGTGAGGCCCCACCTCTACTAAAAATACAAAGATTAGCTGGGCGTGGTGGCACGCGCCTGCAGTCCCAGTTATGTTGAAGGCTGAGGCAGGAGAATAGCTTGAACTTGGGAGGTGGAGGTTGCAGTGAGCCAAGATCATGCCATTGCACTCCAGCCTGGTGACAAGAGCAATACTCCATCTCAAAAAAAAAAAAAAAAATGACAAAGGGGATGTGCCACTGAACACACAAAAATACAAAAACCACTTAGAGACTATTATGAATATCTCTGTGCACACAAACTAGAAAACCTAGAAGAATAGATAAATTCTTGGTAACATACACCGTCCCAAGATTGAACCAGAAATAAATTGAAACTACGAACAGACCAACAGACCAATAACTAGTTCCACAATTGAATCAGGAATAAAAAGCCTACTAACCAGAAAAAGACCTTGACCAGATGGATTCACAGCCAAATTCTACCAGACATGCTGGTATCATTTCTACCGAAACTATTCCAAAAAATTGAGAAAGAGGTACTATGTCTAACTCAGTCTATGAAGTCAGCATCATTCTGATACCAGAACCTGGCAGAAACACAACAGAAAAAGAACTTCAGGCCAATATCTTTGATGAACATAGATGCAAAAATCCTCAACAAAATACTACCAAATGAAATCTAGCAGCACACCAAAAAGCTAATCCATTATGATCAAGTAGGCTTTATCCCTGGAATGCAGAGTTGGCTCAGCATACCCAAATTAATAAATATGATTCATCCATAAAGAGAACTAAAAACAAAAACCACATTGATTATCTCAATAGATGCAGAAAAGGCTTTTGGTAAAATTTGACATCCATTCATGTTTAAAACCCTCAACAAGCTAGGTTTGAAGTTATGTTCCTCAAAATAATAAGAGCAATCCCTGACAGACCCAAAGCCAACATAATACTAGATTGGCAAAAGCTAGAAACATTCTGTTTAAGAACTGGAGCAAGACAAGGTTGCCTACTCTCACTACTCATATTCAACATAATACTGGAAGTTCTGTTTGGAGCAGTCAGGTCAGAGAAATAATTAAAAGGCATCCAAATAGGAAGAGAGGAAGTTATCTCTCTCCACAGATAATGATTCTATACCTAGAAAACTCCATGGTGTCTTCCCAAAGTCTTCTAGATCTGGTAAAGAACTTCAGCGGAGTTTCAGGATACAAAATCAATTTACAAAAATCAGTAGCATTTCTATACTACAATAACATCTAAACCAAGAACCAAATGAAGAATGTAATTTCATTCACCATAGCCTCAGGAAGAATAAAATACCTAGGAATACAGCTAACCAAAGAGGTAAAAGATCTCTGCAATGAGAATTACAAAACACTGTGCAAAGAAATCAGAGATTACACGGACAAATGGAAAAACATTGAATGTTCCTGGATAGGAAGAATCAATATTGTTAAAACCACCATACTGGCCAAAGCAATTTACAGATTCAGTGTTCTTCCTGTCAAACTATCAATGACATTTTTCACAGAATTAGGAAAAACCTTTCAAAAATACATATGGAACCAAGAAGGGGCCCGAATAGCCAAAGCAATCCTAAGCAAAAAGAACAAAGCTGGAGGCATCACATTACCTGTCTTCAAACTATAAGGTTACAATGACTAAGACAGCATGGCTGTACAAAAACAGACACATAGAGTAATGGAACAGGTTAGAGTTCAACTCGGAAATAAAGCCACATGCCTAAAACCATCTAATCTTCAACAAAATCGACAATAGCAAGCAATGGGGAAAGAACTCTCTATTCAATAAATGGTGCTGGGATAACTGGATAGCCATATGCAGAAGAATGAAACTGGACCCCTACCTTTCACCACAAATACATTTCAACTCAGGGTAGATTAAAGACTTAAAAGTAAAACCTAGGCTATGAAAATATTAGAAGAAAACCTAGGAAATACCATTTTGATTATCAGCCCTAGCAAAGACTTGATGATGAAGACTCCAAAAGCAATTGTAGCAAAACCAAAAATTGCCAAGTAAGCCTTAATTAAACCAAAGAGCTTCTGCACAGAAAATGAAACTATCAACAGACAGCCTATGGAATGGGAAAAAATATCTGCAAACTGCATCTGACATAACCAGAATCTATCAGGAACTTAAATAAATCAGAAAGCACAAAACAACTCCATTAAAAAACGAGCAAAGGACATGGACACTTTTCAAAAGAAACAAACATAAGAAAAAAAATGCTTAATATTACTAATTAGGAAAATGCAAATGAAAACCATAATGAGATACCATCTCACACCAGTCAGATAGGTTATTATTTAAAAAGTAAAAAACTAACCAATGCTGGTGAGGTTGCAGAGAGAAGAGAACACATACATTGCAGATGGTAATGTAAAGTAGTCCAACCATTGTGGAAAGCATTCTGGAGATTTCTTAGAGAACTTAAAACTACCATTCATCCCAGCAATCCCTTTCCTGGATATATACCCCAAAGAATATAAATGGTTCTCCCATAAAGACACATGCACATGTATGTTCATTGCAGCACTGTTCACAATAGCAAAGATATGGAATCAACGTACATGCCCATCAGTGGTAGACTGGATAAAGAAAATGTGGTCTGTGTACACCGTGGAATACTATACAACCATAAAGAATGAGATAATGTCCTTTCCAGCAAGATAGAATCAGCTGGAGGCCAATATCCTAAGTGAATTAATGCAGGAACAGAAAACCAAGTACTGTCTGTTGTCACTTATAAATGGGAGCTATTTGAGTATGCATGGAAACAAGGAAGCAATAGACACTGGGGCCTACTTGAGGGTGGAGGGTGGGAGGAGGGTGAAGTCTGAAAAACTACCTTTTGGGCATTATGCTGTTTACCTGGGTGACAAAATTACCTGTATACAAAACCCCCATGACATGTAATTTACCGATATAATGAACCTGCACACGTACCCCTTGAACCTAAAATAGAAGTTGAATAGTGAAAAAGAATTTTTAAAAAAAATTTCAATGAGGGAGAAGGGACTGGGCATGGTGGCTCATGCCTGTCATCCCAACACTTCAGGAGATTGAGGCAGGAAGATTGCTTGAGGCCAGGAGTTTGAGACCATCTTGGAGAAACATAGTGAAGACCCATCCTTACAAATAATTGTAAACATTAGCAGGTGTGGTGGCATGTGCCCATAGTCCCAGCTATTTGGGAAGCTGAGGAGGGAGGATCACTTGAGCCGGGAGTTTGAGGCGGCAGTGAGCTGTGATCATGCCACGCAGTCCAGCCTGGATGGCAGAGCAAGACTGTGACAAATGAAAAAGAGGGAGGGGGGCAAACAATTTTGCCTTGAGCTGGCCCTGCCATTAGATGAACCCAGTAAGAGCAACTTCCTGCTTGGTAGACTCATAAAGTTCACTGATGGATGCTGTCATTGTTAGATCACTTTGAAAACCATACAGTGTGGTCCAGCACAGCACAGTCTTTCAAATTGGATTTAAATTCTGGCTCTGCCCACTAGGATGTAGCCTTGAACCAAGGACATCTCTTTAATCCTTGCTTTGATCATAAGTAAAATGAAAGATAATCAGTAATGTACTGAAATAAATGAAAGCATTGAACATGGTGCTGGCATCCAAGAGAGGCTCAGTAAGTTTATTTTTATTTCATAGAATTCGTGACCTCAAAGAACATATCCATGAGTGATTTCTGATATGGAAACGTGTTATCCTTGCCCCAAATACCTAGTGCTTTAAAAATATAATCACATATCTAACAGTCTGTACAAATTCTTCTCTCTTGTCAGATACAAGTGACAGCAAGTGTCTTAACAGCAAACAAACACCTTTCTGACCTCTGAAATGCTTCGGACTTGTGATTACAGAGATTTTATTGTCATGGACAGGGGACACAGCTACGGGTGTTGGAAACCACACCCACTTTCACCTTCGGGAAAGACAGGATAGTAACTAGGTGACCACTAGATACCCACTCTCAGAGTGGAACGGTCCTCAAGCCTGAGAGGTCCTTATTATCATCATCTGTGTCCTGTAATGAAGTGTTAGCAGGGGTGATGTGTATTTCTTATGGACTGGGAATTTATCTGCTGTTTATGTTCTTCCAGAGCTCCCTCTTTGCCCAGCACCAACAGGGCAATAGCTGGTGCTGAAGACAGTGGCTGCTTGGCAAGCCTGGATCTCCAAGTGACTCCAAGAGACCCCATCAGCAATTCCTAATGAACAGGTAGCATGAAAAAGAAACCTTTCTGGTTTATAGCAGTGAGATATGGGAGTTGTATATCATTGCGGCATAATCTAGGCTATACTGCTATACTGCTACATTAGGGTGCTTGATTTCTAGGTCAGGCCCTATGCCTAGGGTAGCATACTGCTGGCTCACCCTTTAGCTAGTCTCTCAGCTCTGCACAGTACTAGATATGCCAAAATTTGGGCCTTTGATTCAGCCCTCTTTTCTTGAATTATCTCCTTCATGACCAGAGAATAACTTTGTCTTGCTTTGTTGGCAAGAGGTATTAATCTAGATATGGCTGTAATTATAGTTCATACAGGAAATGTGTTGTGAAAAAATTGAGCTAATATAGAGAAGAGAAAAGAAAAGTTGGGGCTTAGTTGCATTCAAATCCCTGGTTCCAGTTGTACCTAAGGTGCAATTGCATTCTTACTTTTCCTTTAGTTTGCTAAATAAGATAATGAACCCCCATTTTGACAAGGTTAAGTTAGATTTCTATCATTTTTCTAGGAATAACGTAGTGATTTTATTTGCCCAGATGTTATAGCTCACCTAAAAAAACCCCTATCTATCCAGGGCTTTTTTTGCCTTTTATTTATTTTTTTTTTTTGAGACAGAGTCTCACTCTATCTCCAGGCTGGAATGCAGTGGCTCACTGCAACCTCCATCTCCTGGGTTCAAGTGATTTTCCTGCCTCAGCCTCCAGGGTAGCTGGGACTACAGGTGTGCACTACCACACCTGGCTAATTTTTGTGTTTTTAGTAGAAACGGAGTTTCACCATGTTGGCCAGGTTAGTCTCAAACTCCTGACCTCAGGTGATCCACCTGTCTCAGCCTCCCAAAGTGCTGGGATTACAGGCATGAACCACTGTGCCTGGCCTATTGCCACTTTAAACACTGTGTCCAGTGATGTTTCCTTCACACCTAGAAGTCTTCAGAGGATTTGTATGGACTGTGAAATCCTCTAGTGACATGGAAGTTTCTGTGTCATGAAGATAGAGAAATTGTGATGCCTGAATGCCTGAGGTTTTTTGGAGTGAGGTAGTACGCATTTGCAAGTAATTTTAAACTATATAATCCAGGATTAAAAGATAAACTATTGTTGCATTTAGCAGTGTGTTTAGAATACAATAATTTTGTTGTTGTTTTGTAATAGAACTGAAGCCAGTATTAAAGCAGCTCAACCAAAGTTTCTTCTCTGGTTCAGACAAGAAGCAAAAGGACAGACTCCCTGTGGAACCTAGCATCGTTCTCCTTCCACAGCACTAGCATTTGCGCTCCGTAAGATCTTTGCAAACCACACACAAGAATTGCTGGTCATCCTGCCAACAGAAAAAGATGCTGCTCACAGAACCAAATTTCCTGTGCTGGATTGTCACTCATGGGCTTGTAGGAGACTGGAGACCCAAGGTGGCCAAAATCCGGCTGGGCCTGACGTCTCCCTGTTGCAAGGGCTCCTCGTGGAATGGAGATCACATGGCTCCCGTGGTGGATCTCATAGTGGCACAGCAAGTGATGCAGACATGCCAGGGGCCATGGCCACAGAAGATGCTCCCAGGGTCCCCTGTGTACTCCAGACAGACACTGCAGGGCACCTCTCCCAAGCAGGTTCCCAGTCAGGGGCCCCATTGTCATGACTTCTGTCTAAGGTGTGCTCAGAAATCTCTTCATAAAACCTGTGACTTTTTGACAGGTGGAGGATGTGGTCAGGAATGGGAAAAGGATTCAAGATGGGAAGAGGGAGGAGTTCAGAATGAAGAGGGATAATCTGTGCCACAGATACTGGCCCTGTGTCTTACCTGGAATTCTGTCTCCTGCAATATGAAGGGTTTTGCCTGGGAGGAGGTAGTGAGAACTCTAGGAGAGAAAAACGGAGAGAATAGTTTGCCTGTTAAACCTTTACCTAGAGGAGCAAAAAACACATGGTTCCATTTTGTGCCTCCTTTCCTCGAGTTTTAGCCAAAGGTTTGGCTAAGTAGTTGCTATTGACCTCGTGTTAAGCCTGTACTTGGGTACAGTTTTGCCAGGGCACTCACTCCTATATCCTCCTCCTCACCTCTTTCAGGCAGGGTGGGGAATAGCAGTAGGAGGAGATTTTGGGAGCCTGGCAACTCCTGCCAGCACGGCAGGACAGCCCCTTTGGGGATGTGTGGTGCCCCATCTGCTGCCCTCTGAAGAATGCACTGCCTTCACTTTCCTTTACTGTGTTAGGAGTCCATCCAGACTGGTCTATCCAAATAATAGTTTCTTTTTCCCACAGGCAATCAGGAAATGATTCCTTTCCCTACTAGTTCTGTCTAGTGCCTGGGAATGTTGAGTCAGTCTCTCAATAAGTCATTGACTAAGGAAATCTTTCCTGCACTGAGCCTCCCAGTTCAGGTTGCTTAGGGAACCTGATATTTTCATGGAATCCATCTACACATGGGCACCCAACAGCAGAGTTAATGGTGATGACCAAAGTGAGCAAACAAGTATAGTTGTGCCAGCTTCCTGGTTGCCCATGCAGATAAGTCAGCAGGATCGGGACACGAGGAAGAGTAAATGTGAGATAGTCATGTGACTTCTGCAATCCTATTCCAGATTTTTTAACCCAGAAATTTTGCTGAAATTTTGATGAGATGCTGAACTTTCTTTGTGGCATACACTGGCACTATCTGTCCCATGATACAGCTATCTCGCGTTACCGTTTTTCTTGAGCACTGATGAGTAAGGTTGGTATATTTAATTCTTCATATCAACAAAAACCCCTTTTCCTATAAGTCTTAACGTTTAGAGTTTAAGGAACTAAAACTTTTTGTGAAATAGTTGACGCTTCACTGATAACGATTTATTGCTTGGATTAATACATTTTCCAAAATTTGTCTTATGTAGAATATGGTTTGCAACCAGCAGAACCGTTAATCTATACTGTGATGATAAGCACTATTTGTGCTGTTTAAAAGCTTCTGCTTACTGATGTAAAATGCTCTATTTAGTTACACATGTAGCTAAACTGTATACTAACATCTGATGGCATTTTTCCAATGTTTGTTGCTTTTTTCAAATACTTTATTATACAAAGCTGTTCTTAATATTTTTCAAGTTTTTCTCTTCGAATTTTGCTAACATTTTTCTTGAATTATGAGCACTGACAGAATGTGCTTAGTGCTTTCAGCTCTTTACACAGCGTTTGAGCATGATTTGCATCTAGTATTTACATTGCTAGCAATAAGCCATCTGTGAGTTTTGTCAGAATTATTGGGGATTTTTTAAATTTTAGAAATGTAAATTCTTGTTTCTTTTGAACTAAATCTTATGCAATTGCAAAGGCATTTCCAGTTGTTATACTTTTTGTATAATATTAGATGTTCCAGATTATGATTCATTATCATTGCTTCCTTGTTCCCTTTGAGATCCACAAGATTCATGTTTACAATATTTAGAAACAATATTAAAAAGATATCCAAAGTTTGTCACTTTATTATTACTGTTTGTTCTTAATATTCTATTTAAGTTTTTGAATTCATAGATATCAAAACACTGCACAATTGTGATTTCCACAGGAGCAAATAGGCTCTCTGAGAGTTATAACAATATTAGGATAATGCTAAACTGACAGTTTTTCTAAATCTCAGTAAAGAATGTGCAGCAGCCCAGAAACACTGCTTGTCCAGGCTACCTGTGATCTCAGGCTGTAGTGTCAGCTCTTCCTGGGTCTCCAGCCCACCAGTCTAACCTGAAAATTCTGTACTTGCCAGCGCCCCACAGTCACATGAGTGAACTGGCCCAGACTGGTCACCAGGGTCAGTTTCTGTGTGACATTAATTCATTCAATGTTCAGCAGTCTCATTGGAGCTGAGATGTACCTATCATCTACCTTTTGGGTGCTCAGGGTGGAGAACCAGAAAAGTATAACCTAGTGTGTGTCCTCAAAGAACTAACAATATGGGGCGGTACCCATAGGTCTGGGAACACCTTATTGACTCTGAGAGGCATAGCAAGAGATGTCAGAGACCAGTCCATCCTCAAATGCCAAAGGAAATGCAGAGAAATAGTTTGCTTAAGTTCATAGACCAGATATCCAGTGGTCAGGGATTTTCATGAATAAGATGGAACTTCGCGTGGAACCCAAGAGATGTGTATGATTTGAGTGGATGAAGAAAATGAAGACTTTCCGAGCAGCTAGAAGTTATGGAGCAGCAAAGTGTGGGATTGAGCACAGTGGGTTCAGAGGATAGATAGCAGTTTAATACTTTTTAGTAAATATCTCCCAACTGTTTGGCACTATTGGAATAAGTTCATGAACGCCAAATGAAGGCATAAATCAGTGAGAGGCATAATAAAAGCTGAGCAGTGCTTGGCTTTTTACGAGCTGATCCTGATAGGAGCAGCTATTCAACATAATTGCCAGGTCATTGTTACACAGTCCCTGCCTTCTAGGGGCTCACTGCTTATTAGGAGAGACATCTGAAAGCTGGTGCAGTGTGTAACTGTTGGATCAGGGATTTGAGCCTGTGGACTGTGGGACCCCAGAGGAGGGTGTGACTACTTTAGGCAGAACAATCCCACAGTTATTTATGTTTAACCTTGAAATTCATTAGAGGATTTTTCAGCAGAGGGTTGTTGCTTGTTAAGTTTGCATTCTCTAGAACCTCAAGGAAAGCTTTACTGTGCATGATGTACCCTTTTATGTTAATGCTGTGTACTGTGATCCTGTTTCAGGGACTTGTACTTAGGATCTGTTACAGTGAGCACAGAAGCAGACCTGTGGGCTCATAATGTAACCCCGCCCCACCTCCCTCCCCCGTGTATACAAGATGAACAGAGCTGTGGAGGTTAAACAACCTGCCCAAACAACATAGTTCATGGTAAAGCCCGAGACTGTACCTGCCCATCCAGTGCTTTTTCAGTACATCCTGGAACCGAGCATAGACCACTTCCCAGGCAGAGCTGACAGCAAGTAAAGAAGATCGTAATCAGGGGACCTAACAACTTTGTCTACAAAGTGTGAATGCCACCTAAGGAGAAACCGTGAGATCAGAAGGATGGGGTAGAAAAGCAGGGACCATGAGGGAGAGTCCTTGGGGGTGCATCTGTCAGACTGACACTGCCTGGCCTGGGCAGTGGAGGGTTGGCAGGAACCACAGGTACTGGTGGTGTGGCTACTACAGAGACAACTGCCTGCGCTTGAACATGGACTCTGCAGTACTCAGCAGTCTCATTCATTGCCCACTGCATTCTACACCAAGTAGAAATGGAAGATGAATGGGTACTTCACAGAGACAAGGTCTAAGAGAAGAAGGAATGTATCCTGTGGCTGTGGAGATCCTTAGAGCTTGGAGGGGAGAGCTTGAGCCCCACTGGTAATGACCTTCACAGCTCCCCAACTCAGTCCTTCCCAAGTCCCCACTGGGGACCAGTTCTGTCTCCAGGATTGAGGGGACTCCCCCAGAACTCATCCATGATAGGGATGTTGGTATCTGCTGTGGGGTAGGACTGATGTGCTGAGGATGGCTCCCCCACAAGCAAGAGATGTGTATTTGCGGAGCCTCCCATCTTATGTCCTCTAGGCAGTGCTAACCGATCCATTTTCTTAAGTGTTCGCTGAGGTGGAACTGCTCCCAGGAGACCACTGGGCTTATTTGTGGGCTTTTAGAGGTTTCTCACACTTCTCACTCTTCCCACTAGAGATCTGGCAGCTGCGTAAATCTCCAGCATTTATCTAGAAACAGACTCATGGCTTGATAAGAGAGAAATTTTGAAGAGGTTCTTACTCTGAAGGAGAATGTCTGGATTGAGCTCCAAGGCCTTTTCCTTGGATTCCTGCTTAGCTTAGGCTGGATTCCCTCAGGCACGCTCCCTGCCTTACCCTGGCAGCAGCCAACACTCAGGAGTTAGAGTGTCTGCTTTTGCCATTCAACAGGCCTGTGCCTGGGCTCTCTCTGCTTTCTCTTCCACAGAGCCTCCTGGTGCACACATGAACTCCAGGGTTCTGGGCCCTGTGGATACTGAGCATAGAGCTTGTGGATACTAGGGCTGCCGGAGATGGAACCTTCTACAAGTGGTGGTGCCTTCTGGCGAATAGTAAAGATAGACATGCCATGTGCAGCATGAGGGGCTGCTAAAGCTCCTCATCTTGAGATGGGGTAAGGAGAGGGATGTAGGCAGAGAGCCACTTCTCAGCAAAAGGAGAGGAGGGCCTCTTCTGGAAACCTTCAGCAGGTCAGGGCTGAGGCCTGTAGGCCAGCATCCCTCATCTTCCCTTCCCTTCTGAAAGCCAACTTCTGAGCCCTCTATCCCTATCAGGAGAATATTTCCCAGTCATAGGTAACCACTGAGCTGTAGTCAGTGGTGTGGGGGTTGCTGGAACTGTGATCACAGGAGTTGTGCTCTGGAGGAACAGGAGCTCAGATGCAGAATGCTACTCTGGGTTTTCTTACTCTCACCTATGGTGCCTCACCTGAAGGGGTTGAGTTAAACTCTTAACCCTGTTCCTTCTGGAGCTCCCATGGAGACTCCTGCTATGCTGCAAAGTCTGGGAGGGGCCCATTTATGGAGGGCAGGTTGGGCAGCCACAGGTTTGGTAGGAGGAAGGAGACCTTCTGGACTCTTGATCCTCAATACCTGGAGAAGGCCAGTTCCTGTGGCTGCCCCTGACCCTAGGACCTGGATCTGAGTTCACAATTTTTCTGCTCCTCCATAAGCTTTCAGGCACAGGGTTACATGAGGCTCAGAAACTCCAGAGTACCTGGTAAGTGGGTCTATTTCTGATGGGACAGAAATTCTCAGGTGCTTCTCTTTCAGATTCCTAAATTGCTTATAAGAGATTAAGTGGGAATAAGCCAGTGCCTGAAATGAATTGGCAAATCTGAAGGGGG